GATAAGGAAGCCTGGATAAGAATAAGCAAGTGGCGCAATCTGTTGGCGAAACCAGAACTAAAACATAATTTCTCTAAAAGCCGAAGGCAAATTTGGATTGGAATTAGGATCGTTAACTAGAACAGAAAGATTTTTATGAATGTGAAATGCCTCTAGAAAATCCAGTTCTCCAATGGAAGATGTTTTTTGAATAACTTTAGCAGCAGAAAAATTGAAAGTGTGATTTTTGGACCAACAATGTTGAGCAACAGAAGACTTCTATGTTTCCTTTTTTCTAACATATGCCTCATGTTCTTTGACGTGAAATTTCAAGGCTCTGTTAGTTTGGCCAATGTAAATTAAACTACACTGGCAAGGAATCCTATAAATACCCCAGGAATTCATATCCGGAATGGGGTCCTTGAGTATAGAAGTCCGAATTTTATTGATGGGAGAATAAACAACCCGAAAGTTAAATTTCTGCAAAATATGTGCAACTTTATAGCTAATTGATGGAAAGAAGGGAATGACAACAGAATTTTTATAATCTCCTAAAATAAGAGTGTGGCTTTTAGTGTGTTGAGATGAGAATTTTTAACTGCTTGATTAATAATGTTGGGTGAAAAGCCCCTGTCAATAGCTATAGCTTTTAAATAATTTAGTTCTTCATCAAGGGCTAGTTTGGAGGAGCAAACTTGAAAGCACGGAAAACATAGGAATAAAATGAAGCTACTTTTGTTTAGTCGGATGACATGATTTAAAGTGTGGTGGAAGGCAAACCGATGAAGGTTTACGGTAAACTGTAGTACTGAAGTTGGATGTGTTACGTGTGACCAGAATGTCGAGAAACGGAAGAGAATTGCAAGTCTCAAGTTCAAAAGTGAACTGAATAGCAGGATCAATAGAATTCAATGTTGAAAGAACTTTATTTAAATCATCTTTACTACCTTCAAACAGGGTAAAAGTATCGTCTACGTAGCGGAACCATGCCGGGAAGTTTAAAGTTTCAAACAATTTTGATCATAATAATGCATGTAGATATCAGCCAGGATGGGACTGAGGGGGCTTCCATGGCTAATCCCTCAGTTTGCTTAAATTTATTTTGGAAAAACAAAATGTGTTTGCTTCAAAACAGAGTTGCGTGAGAGAAAATTAGCTCATCAATTTCGATGCAAGAGAAATGAAATTCGCGAAGTCTGGTTTCTAGACATCTTAATGCACCCTCCACTGGGACACTGGTGAATAATGATCTTACATCAAAAGAAACCATGAGTAAATTACTAGGAGAAATGTTTTTAACCTTTTTTACAAACTCTATTGAATTTTTTATGGTGTAAATGTTATTGTCTAATAGAGTGGAAAAATCATATCCCCTATTAAAGAACGGATGTTTCTTGCTGGACACCCATCACAGGGATGTTTCGGCCTTCAGTCGCATTGCGCTCCATGCTACTTTTTCAATTAAGCTTCTTTTTATCCCTCTGATTTCTCTTTTAGTAAGTGTTGCTTACATTACTCATGTCCTTACGTATTGGGGATCTTACGGTATTAAATGTGTTGATTTGGAAAGCTTTTGTACAAAGTTATATTGAAAAAACCGTCTCGTCCTTAATTTTTGCACACGAGTGTAATAGTGTAAGCTACAAACTGTTAACGCTAAGTTTAAGTATGGGGAAAATGAAACCAGACTTTGAATACGATATCAGCATATTACGTAGAGCAAAGAGCGATCAGTGTACTTCACATCTTAATTCAAATTATTCTTTACAAAATCCTTTAAATTATTACACTGATCCGATCATTACCATAACAGACCTTTTAGATCATTACCATAGCAGATAATTACTATGGCCGAGAATAACGAAGTTAAAAACTAATTTTCTTCAAAATTTAGTCAACCTTAGAAAATAGACTTCGACCACAATATTCTATTCGCAACATCCAAGGTGATAAATGTTTCATGTGGGATGATACCACAGAAACTATTAGATGGTCGAAAAGAGAAAACTGTTTACTGTTGGTGATTTATCCAATAATTATGAGGGAGCCGTAGATTCTTTTATTCGAAATAAATTTATATAATAGCATGAAAAACGTATAATAATAACATTGTAGAAGAAAAATTAACCGAAGTATCTAAGGCATTTTCCTGCAAGGTGCTTTTATCAAATTATATAACTGGCTATTTATAACATAATGTTTTGTATGGCAGAATGAATGCTCCGCACATTTTACTACGGGTGTTCAAATGAAAAGGTACGAAACGACACTATAGATATACTGAAGTCTTTATTCACAAGTAATCACCAAAAGCCTGAGAACAACTATCCCGCTGTTTCACGAGCCGAAAGATTCTATCTTCCCAGAATTCCTGTAGCTGTGACAGGAGCCAGTCCTCTACTGTGTCCTTCAGCTCGTCGCCCGAGTTGAAGCGCTTCCCTTTGAGATGTCACTTCTCACCAAATCGTTCACCTTGTCGATGTGTTAAGCCGTGATTACTGTTTTCACCTGATCTGGTCTTCGGTCATCACTCAGACACTCCGAGCCCGAGCCTTCACGAAAACTGGCACTCCACTTTCTCACTGACTTGTTTGGACTCACAGTCTGCTCCGTAAACGGCCACCATCTGGCGATGAATATCGGTTGTTTTAATCCCTTCCACAGTCAGAAATCTGATAACATCTAGGTGCTTCTCAATCATCGAATTTTGCAATGTCAACGCCAACATGTCATCACACCCACTGCCGCATCAATTGGACGGAACACACAACTGCCTACTTCACTCCGGCGTCATGTGCGGGCGCTTGTTAATGCGCACGACCACGTCGGCTATGGCATTAACGTCCTTAGATGTTTACCTACATTATGCCAAAGCGGCATATTCAAATTTCAACCGGTTTGGTTGTTACCACGTTTCGTACCTTTTCATTTGAACACCCCTTTTATTATTATCATAGTTATTTTTCTACAGTAAAATGTCAGTACGTAAATTAGAAATTCATCGAAATCAGATATTCTAATTCAATTAGAAAGTTATAAAAAGAAGCCATTGATTCATGATGACATGTTAAGAGCATGCCGAAGTAAAATAGAGCATATCATATGGTGAAAATGTGTTAAATTCGAGAGAATTATCCATCTGTCTTATATACATAGAAATACAAATAATTTTTAAAAGGAAGATTTATAATCCTTTCAAGAATTGTCGCGCAATATGACGCTGAAAATTGATCAGTAAATATATAAAGAAGAAATTTAGAACCAATTTCTGAAGATAAAGAAAGGAAAGGGGGGGAAGAAAAGGAAAGAGCTAAAGGGTGATATTTTACACAGTGCTTGCCTTGCATCGGGAAAACTAAAAACTAAGAGTAATGTTGAAGATTAACAACAAAGTCTGATAAATAGCCAATCTTTTTAAATATTTAAGATATACCCTCAAGAGAACTGTAGTTCTAGACAATGTCTGAACATTTTACAGTCGTCAAACAGTATTATTTATTACGTTTTTGGAGATTCCTTGGAAGACCTGTATGCTACGTAAGGGAGATGCTATATGACTTTTAACAATATGAAAGTGGCATTTAATTTATTTAATTCACTGATCTTCAGTTTTCATTTCATTAGAAAGCGAAAAATTTTCAAATGTAATGAAACATCTATACAGATATTTTATTACATTTCAAAAATCAAAGCATCTAAAAATTGATAGAGAAGGGTTAGAAATAATCAAAACTTAAAGTCATTGATCTAAATTAAAAAATATATATATAATTATCTAAAACACAAAAATATTTTCCAAAAAAGAATGAAGGCTCTGGGCACATTGTCAGGCGCAAGCAATTATCTTTCATAAGACTCTAATAGAATTTGCGTAATGTATACTTATATGCACATGCGTATAGAAATTAAAAATTGCTTCCAGGTAACGAAAATGTAAGAGAAATCGCCAACATAAAGAATCGTCTAAAATAAAAAAGAATAAATAAATAAATAAAAAGAAGTTTAAAAACTGAAAATCGAGAAAAATAAGGGATACCAGAAAATTTCTAAAAAGAACATAAGAATCATAGAAGGAAATATAAAAGAATATAGAAATAACTATCAGGAAAAGAAAATAAAATTAAGGTGTAACTATCAGGAAAAGAAAATAAAATTAAGGTGTAACTTGAAAGGATCTTGAAAATCAATACATCTGTTTAAAGCTTTTCGTGTGAAACAATTGGATCCTTGAGGATTTATTGTTGCTGATATACTCAAAGTTTCATTGTAATGCTAGAGAAGACATTGTTAGAATTAGCCTTATAACCAGGACTCTAAAAGGAAATTCATGTAATCAAAATTTTCGATATTTATTATATTTATACTAAAATACTAATTTTTCACACCACATATTTTTTAAAAATTTAGACGAATAAAGTATTTACTTCTTAAAAGTAATGTGGTAACTTTAGTAAGAAATGTTTTTTATAGTTTAAAGTAAATGCAAGTATCCCTGAATTAATAATTATAATTTACAGTAATAACGCGTAACAATTTCTCAGAATATCGCTTTAAGGCTCATAAAGAAATTAAACAAATTTTAAAGTTTTTAATTTAAATTCCTACACGCAATCGTTTAATATACTGATAAAAGTAAAGAAAGAAGACAAATGGCAAATGACAAATATGCAAAATGACAAAAATTATAATTATTATTTATGACGTTGACAGAGGAATATCGAAGAAATTTTTAAAGAAGCAATACTGAATCAAAAACGTTGGTTGCAAATTTAATATACATAGACCACACAGAGACTTTTGTGTCTGTTTTAATTATGTCGATTTTTCAGAGATAATTCTCGTCTTAAATTCACTCAGCTTATTTTAAAACGCATAGCTATGACAGATCTACGATTATCTAAACTCCTTATCTTAAAATTTATTTTTGTGAGTTACTGCCAAAAATTCAGACTATAGTAAAAAATAAAAAAATTAATAATATAATAGACATTATAAAATTTTTAGAATATTTGTGCACTTACAATGGAAAAATCCATAACCCTTATGATCCATATAGTTAAGGCTAAATTGATGATCACCATAGAAAACAAAATGATGACTAAGAAATACAAGCATCGTTTTCTCCAGCCATAAATTCCTATCCTATATACGTAGGGGTGTGAAAGGGGATCTCCGGACGTATTTTCCGAAAGGGAAGCTCCAGGAGGAGGACCACCTCCCCAGTCATGAGATGCTGTTGATGGCGCAACCAAACCTCTACCTGGAAAACAAAAATAAATCATTGTATGAAAGACAAAGATTTCCTATACTATAGATATTTTATAAGCATATTTGCGTGTGTAAATATTATAGCTAAACTAGAAAGGTTAAATACGTAAAATAAACCCCAAATTAATTTTAATAAACTACTTATCATTGTGGGATCTTGAGTAACAAGGCCTCGAATGCGCTTGGTAAGAAAGGCCCAACATTTAACAAGTTTGGATTGAGATGCTATATAAGCCAAACTGCCTGAGTTATAACATCCTAAAATAAATAATTATTGTCTGCCTACTTCAACGTCCCTCCGGGTGTCGACTAGGGGCCAACTCCCGGCGATCTGGCTAGGATCTGTACGCAGACAGACTCGACTTCTGGGGTAGACGGTCAGTCTTCAGCGTGACTAGAACCAACCTTTATTCGAGGACCGTAGTCTCACTGTCTTGTCTGCCCCTTGGTTATGGGAATGTCATATGGTTTGATATCAGAGGTTGTCTTTGGGGGGTTTGGCTCCCCTTTGTCAACACTCGGGGTCGGACTAAAATGTGCTTTATTCTTTACTCTGTTGGTGGATGCTTGCCGCCCACCCTTGACTTGCGAAACTTATTCCCAGACTGTGTATATCATATAAAATCCCCCGGTTTTGACCGGGGGGGTTATGTCTCCTTGGATCACCTCTAGGGGTTCGAGGCATTTTACTGCGTAAGGCATTTCATAAGCCAGGTCTGGAAGCTCCTTCTCTCTAGTGCGCTGCTCACTTTGACGAAGGCATTGAGGGCAAAGTTTGAATGACACTGTCTTTCAGGCGCTTGCTGCCCACAGAATATTTCAGACCACGACTGCCTTAAGCACCAGAACTCATTGGTGATTTGAACAGTCCGCCATTTCCATCCGTAAAACTTTTCCAGTTATGTATGCTTACCATCTTCCATTCTACCCTGCTATACCGCGATGACGTATTACCAATCTTTACAAAGAATTAAAGATACTCTTTTTTAACTATATAAATTAGGTTAACTATTAAGTTAGGCTCACTCTTTTTTAACTATATAAGTTAGGTTAAATTATTTGATTGTAGCAAATCACACAAAGGCTATTTGCCTATATGGGTGGAATTTCTGTAGACTTTCTAAGAGAAATTGTTTCATATTCACGTCACGCATGGCAAAATCCACGAAATCCAACTAGGCAGCCATCCCCTTCAACTGACTTCGAACCTAAGTCGAACTAAAAGTATTTAGCTGTCTTAATCCCTTGGCCTCTGGCGGGGCCCTATATAATTGTTCTACTGACAATTATCTTTCTGCTTATATATCGTTTTAAAGATGAATTTTAGTGAGTAGAAAAAATGAACTGTTCTACTCGCTAAATCACTTTCTACTCACTATGCCTAATAAAAATATTATGTTTGTTACTTTTACTTATGAGACATGTACTCAAGATTTTAATTATTTAGTAGCTGAATCAAAGTTCTTCTAACCGCATTAGATTGACAAGAGAGATATCGCACTGTCTAAAATATTATGACAAATTCCTTAGAAGGTTGTAAATTATCTTTTTATTAAATCTTTAACTGATCAGAAAGCACAACTTGTGCATGCAAATAAACTCCTCCACTTGCGAATAAAGAAAATAACTTAAGCTGAAATTTCAAGTTCAAGTTAACATAGTCAGAGACTACAAAAAGTGGTGTACCTAAGCTGATTTAATATTTTAATAGCGCGTTTTAATATGGACTAGCGAAATGGGTATAGCGGTATATTTACTAGCAGAGGTGGACGATATAACGTAAACTGCGGGCGAAACTGCCAATATCTCTGAACTAAAACATTTAAAACCCTCAACTTAAATACTGTAATAATAATTTTGCATCCTGGTGAGGAGTACGGGAAAAGATAAATTATAGTAGAGGTTTGAATCATTATAGCTGGTTACTTAACACAAAGTGCTCCACATGCTATATTAAAAGGCAGTTCCTTAACATACAAGTTTTTACTATAATACTAATAACATCTCTTTTTTAATACTATTTAGCAGTCTTCAATATAAATCAGTAAATGATAAACTGGAATGCACGCAGAACGGAAATTCAAACTACATTCCAGAGCTATTTTATGAATCCCATAATGATTCAGAATTCATTTTAAAAAGCAATACCCAGTTTAATAGGTTTCTATGACCAACTACGAAACCTAGCATGGTAAAGCGAGGCTATTTAGATATAAGAAATAGCATGATTGTTTAGATATATGAAAAAAATATCAGGAATAATGCAGTAAAATACTAACGACTTATAAATTACAAAGGAAAAACGTAAGTAGGGATGATGTCAGTATAACTAATATTTTGTAACTTTTATGAAGTTAAACAAAGCGATATTTGATTGTATTAGACTACTTATTATAATAAAGCTTGTAACGGTTATTTTAGATACGAAAGTAATTTCGAGGAAGTCTTTCTAAAGGAATGGAATAATAGTCACGTTATATATTACAAATATAAAAATACTCCCAAGAGACTAACACCGCACCCACGGAACTGAATTCTCAGCTAATCTATTATCATTGCGTAGGGTTTTTTTAATCGACCAAGAGGGAAACAAGAGGTAAAGTAACCATAGCAAATGCAACTTTTTTATACTAAAAATATTATATTAAGCCATAATGAGTTGGTGCTACTCATGTAAAAATAAATTAGATCAAAATTTTATTTTATTATTAAAGCAGCTTGTTTACCCAAGAAATTCTACTGCTAAAAATAGGCTATTGCAACCCAGTTTCACAGCATTTATAACTTTATTTCGTATTTAAACAATTTATTATAGCATTTATCACTGTCTTTTACCAGTCTCTATTCGATTATTTAAAGGAAATTCTGGGTCGCTGCTAATTCCTATATCCCTTTATTGTCGAATGCAACAGAATGAAAATATTTGTTTATGTTCGAACAAGCTAAAACGATTCCATCTCTTAAATACACGCCCTAAAACAAGATGTATTCTATCAAATTCTTAAATAAATTTCTAAGATACGAAATTTGGAGGAGGGAAACAAATTTTATAAAAAAAAAAAAAAAAAAAAAGAACAATTGATAAAAAGTGAAACAAATTACTAATTTTGGAAGACAGAGGATTCTTACTGTTATAATTACTCATTATGAAATTGAAACGAAGAAATAATTTACAAAAACCCTTCTGATGGCCAATGTAACTACGCTCATTATTATGCACGGATAGTTAACGCAAGAGTTATTTGTTTTCTTGTAACTTAAAACTTTCCATTCTCAGAGTCGGTAGATATGAAGAAACTGACTAAAGTGATTTTATAAACGAAGGTATGAAATATATTAGATAAGCAAAATTTCAGAAAATGTAACATTATTTTGATTTCCAATGTAATGGCGTTGCCCGAACATTATCGTTATTATCAGCTATCCGAGCAAGATATTACCTACTGTGATATTATCACATTATATTAATTGCTAAAGCGCCGCCTTCACTTCAGTTGAAGTAATTTATTTATTTCAACCCATTTCTGTTCAGTTAAAGGTGAAAACGAATCTAGTAGTAATAAAGGGAAATTTCTATACAATACTTTTCTGGCATAGTTTATATTGGGAGTACCAACATCTATAGTTCAAATAGCGTTTCCACAATTGAATTCATTTTTAGTGTCTCATAATGTACAATAAATTCTTAAATTTAAACTCTAAAATGTCATTAAATAAATACTCAGTATTCATCTCGAATATTTAATTTAATATTTTTTTCATTTCTGTAGTTTCTGTGTTAAAATATTAAAGAAAATCAGGAGTGTACTAAAACGCCTATTTGAAATAAATACACAATTATTACAAATAACAAGTAATTATTGCAAATAACAAGAAAGTGATATATTTTTCAAATCAGCTTCATACAGACTCTAAATGAAATAAATAAGTTACTACACGAAACTTAAAAAATTGTTCATTTAAATATTTTTTTCAAGGGTGTTCTATGTCGACAACATTGGCAGAAAAATGGTTAAGAAGTGAAATTTTTAACAAAGAACAATTTCCTAAATTTGTGAGTTGCTGAACAGCCTGTATATCATCGTTTCCTTAGAGAGCATTAATATAGTTTTCTAACTCTATTCTTAAAATTTGCCTTAAAATTTCCCTTTATAATTCATACAGTTAATGACATATTTATTTTGAAAGATTCCAATTTAACATGATTTCACATTGCTTCGATTAATTTTGTGTTATCTTCGCATAAGAGAGCAAATCAGGAGATTCATAGTTAATTGATTAGAATTAAGCACCCAGCTCTCTAATTCAAGAGAGTTGTTTACGTGTAAGACATTCTCTAAGGGAAAGATGCTCACGTTTACGATATGTATAAATTGAGAAAAAAAAACCGCTCATTCAGCCTCTTCATGCTCGAAATTGCTCCCAAGACAAAACTAACAGTTTCATTTGTCGTATGAAAGCGAACGTTTGTGGTGAGATGAACCATAAAATAAAAAATTGAAAGTATCAAACCATAAAATAAAAGGTAAAAGAATAAACATACATTTAGAAAGGGTGGCATTTTAACTCTTGTTAAGGCCAATTTAAACTGATCATTTTGTCGTTACAATATAAAAAAGGCTAAAGTCGTTTTCATTTACTGAAAAGATGTTGTACAAGAAAGTTTGCTTTGAGATATAGCAACATTATAAAATTAAATTTTATTACAAATGAGGTAAATATGCTACCGAAACTTTAGAAATGATTCAAACAGTATATTGTGATGCATCGTCATGAAAATCACAAAGTGCATGAGTGGTACAACTATTTTAAATGTGGGCGCGAAAGCGATGAATATTAACCAAAGATACTTTAATTTCAAAGAATAAGTAAAATGTGGAGAAAATTTTGTTTCTTGTGTAAAAGATGATAAACGTGTAACAACTCAGCAAATTTCAGACATGCTTGTGATAAGCAGAGACAGTTGTGGCTACTTTTAATTGAAAATCTGAA